CCTATTAGCACTGCAATCCTACAATACAGGATTATTTATTACAGAATGCCCCCTCTGTGGGAAAGAGAAAAGGCTATCCTTGCAGGGGGAGATCCAATCTCAGAATTCCATTTCCCAGCTATCATAGAAATCACTTGGGATGGTTCTCCTCTAATGTCAAAACTTGCTGTCCCACCCTGTCCCAGCAATCACGCAGCCCAACATTTGGCAGATTTTGGAAATGGTAAGCTTTTCACCTACGTCAAACGAGTTGAAATCCACACATCTTAAAGTTGCCAAGTTTGAAAAAGATTGACCTAAGCTCTTTGTGGCAGTAAAACTCCATTACAGGTGATGCTCCTTTTGAAATTAGCACAAAATGCTGGTTGAGTTTACGTAAGGCTTAGAAACAACACTTGCTTCATCATCTGTGGCAAGAACTGAGCAAGTAGGAAATATTTACAGAGGCATACAAGACAGCTAAGCTACTGAAGTTTTTTGTAAGCTGGTGATACCAGGGGACTTTTTTGCCATGCTAACCTACGTTTTTCCAAAGCTGTTTCCTCTTGGTCCTCCATCAATTTTTTGAATACAAAGGATATGTCTGCATCTTCAGTCAGCTGTCTAGAAATGAATTTTTCCTCAATGTATTCTGTAGCAGCATCACAGTTATTACTGGTGAAAGGAAAAAGTTGCATTAGCTGAGTTTCTAACATTAGAGTTCATATGCCAATAAAGCAAGAACATGAATGTTTTACTCTATTACTACATTAATATTACACAGAATAGCAACATTAAAAGTACCCATCACTCCACTCATGCAGATACTGTTATAACACAAAGTGAAACAAGTTTGTGGCTGAGTGCGTAACATCAGTACCAATGCCATTTCCTTCAGAAATGAACTATGATGGCCTTTTCTACCGCTGAATAACATTACCTTTTTTTTTTTTTGGGTAACAGAGCAAAGTTACTTGTGGGTTAGTTACCTTTGAAATAAGACAAAGTAATTTTTTTTTTTAATCCCAAGAAAACAAGAGATGCACCACAAATTAAATAGCATGTTTATAGCATTAAATATTTTCTTGAATTTTTCAGAGTAACCTTTTTGGATAGAAACACAACTGTATTAAATGTGATATGTTCAGCAGTGTCTGTAACAAGCAGCCATGATGTCAAAATGATGACGTGTGTGTCTTGATAGCATTGCACAAAGGACACTACTTAGTACTTGTGTCACAACATCTGACACAAGTAGGTAGGCCTCATCGTTTGCATCATGATGTATATGTGCCATTTGTACCTCCTTGCCCTTCCATGACTACCCATTGACATGTTTAATAGTTTTGTCTACAATTTTTTTCTTTGTAGTGTAACAGAAATGATGGCAACAAAAATACTGTAGTCATAAGAAATAAATGCAGCTCATTGTGCCTTTGATTTTAAAAAGAGCTGCAGATGACTGTTCTTCAGAGCCTGGTTGCAACAAGATGTGGACATACTTAGACAAATATCATACTTAAGATACTGACACCTGGAAGTTCATAGTTAACAGCCAGTTCAGAAAGGTACTGAATTCTAAATGGAGCAGGATTTTCTCCCTGGAGTCAGCTGACAACATGTCTGAATTTGTTAATAAAAACAGAGTAGAACAAATAGATAACTGGGCTCAACATAATATGGCAAAAAACTGTACTGATTGTTTGTTACCATGTCCTTCCACCTGACAGATACCTTATATGTGTACTCTGGACCTTTCCTGATGTTAAATTTATGTTTGTTTGTTTGTTTATTTAATTAATTAAATTTATATGCTGCCCATCTGCCCCAGAGGGCAATTCTGGGCAGCTCACAATTAGATTCCAAAACAGTAAAAACAATAAAAATATAAATATCCATATTAAAATTAACTAATAACAATTGTATATAAAATGTATATTTTATTAAAAAACTCCCCTCTCACCCCTATGGCTGGTATGTGTCTTCCTCAATCGCGGGTCCTCTACCAGAGGCCTGGAAGTTTGAGGGTTCTGCACAGCATCTTAGCTGTTCCTAGCACTGCACTCTTCTGGACAGAGAGCTCTGATGTTGTTCTGGGATCTGTTGGAGTCACTCTCCCAGGTTAGGAGTCACAGCCCTGAGTGCGCCTACCACCACTGGGACCACTTTGGCCTTTACTTTCCACATCCACTCTAGTTCT